TGTATGAAAAAAATGGTTCTGGAAAAAGTTGGCCTCACAACCTATATCAGTATATTAAATTTACGCGAATCAAATTTTCACTATTTCAAAGTCCAAGTGACTATATTGTTAACAATTGTTTAAGCCTATGAAGGAATTGGATGTAAATTGTAAAGCTTGGGTTACTTCATACGGTTGAGAAATAGATCGATCGACCCTCTCCTCGTCAATTTCGGAAGACCCGCTCGGCTGATTATACACCTGTGTTGCATACTAACTCTCAAATCTACAGATATTATTTTTAAGATTTAAACAATTATAGGTTATTTACTGTTCCAAACTGACTAGCAGCTCAGGTATAATTAGTTTAATAGCTTCTTGCAAGGAACTTGACCCATATAATTAGCTAGCTTGTCAATTAGTAAACAAACAATAATATAAGGGCTTATACCTATTACCGGTATCTTGCGCTTGTCCTCTGATCCCGCTATTTCTACTTTCTACGATATAAGCATTAAGAAATATTTTACTAAAAGAAGAAAACTTTGTATTAAATTTACACTGTTTTATTTTCCGCGATTCAGAACTCGTCGCGAACAAAGCGGAAATTGGATACACGCGGAAAATTCCTGATATACGGTATGTTGGTACCTAGAGTAAAGGCCGGTATACACGGTAAGATTTGTATTATAAGATTTGTATTATAATACAAACACACACACACTCTTAATACAGTGTATCATACGATTTTTCGAATCTTGTAAAACTGTATTAAGAATAGGGCAATGCTCTATTTCTTAATACAAGTCTTAACTTACCTTTCACTTTCAACCAATCAAATATACTTTTATTGGGGGTCATCCTATTTATATCATTACTAAAAAAGCACATGGTAAATATTAATGGTCGACTTTACAAGTAAATACATCGAAAAACTCGTGGTTTTATGGGAAGGGGAAGAGGACTTGTGGAATAGATCAAGCGGTAGCTTCCACAAGAAAGATGCTAGAAGCAGAGCTTAATATTAGCATTTTTATTATTTTTTTCAAGAGAGAAATATGGCAGGAGAAAACACGTGGGAATAATAGTTTGTTTACAATCTTATAAGATATGTATTAGCGTGTGTACAAGAAAGTCTTATAATACAAAAGTATTATAACACTTGTATTATACTACAAATCTCATCGTGTATACCGGCCTTTAGGCCTTTTCACAAGAAAAACAAATGTTAAATATTAACCCAAGCACCATCTGTTCAAGGGGTATGACCAAGGTTAACATTTTAAAGGGTAGGACAAACTCCGGGGTCAAGGTCAAAGGGTCGAGGTTGCTGGTTTCTAAAGAAAGGCCTTGTCTCAAAGATTACATATGGGAAGTATGGAAGTGCTCGCCCTTACCATTCAAAAGTTATTGCCAATGTTAAAGTTTGTAAAAAGTAGGTCAAACTCCAAGGTCAAGGTCAAAGTGTCAAGGTTCTTGATATAAAGTGAAAGATCTTGTCACAAGGATTAAATATGTGAAGTATGAAAGCCCTAGTTCTAACCCTTCAAAATTTATGTTCAAGGTTGTATTTTAAAGTAGGTCAAACTCCAAGGTCAAGGTGAAAGGGTCAGGGTTCTTGGTACCTAATAAAGCATCTTTTCACAAGGATTATATATGTGAAGTACGAAAGCCCTAGCACTTATCGTTCAAAATTTATAGCCAAGGTTAAAGTTTTTTCATAAGTACAGAAATGTCCAAGGTCAAGGTCAAAAGATCAAAGTTGTTGGTATCCAATGAAAGTTCTTTATACAAAGAATATAGATGTCAAGTTTAAATGTCCTGTTATCTACTGTTCAATAGATATGGCCAAAGTAAAAGTTCAAAATTTTTGTGTAAAAGTGTGTCAAAGTCCAAGGTCAAAAGGTCAGATTTGGTGGTACCCAAGAAAGGTCTTGTCACAAGGAATACACTTGTGAAATATGAATGCCATAGCTCCACTAAGTCAAAAGTTATGGGCAAGGTTAAAGTTTTTGTTGACAAACAGACAAACAGACAGCTAGACAGACAGACGGATGGACACAACAAAAACTATATACCCCGAATCTTCGCGTACGGGGGCATAAAAAGACTACGTTCAACTTTCAATGAAAACCATTTCAAACTTAACATTAAACCATTATGATCGGGAAAAGGGGGCAGGGCTGCATCAATGCCTGACACCAAAATTATGTTTTTATATTCCCCCTCTCACTTCGTTTGTCCGAATATAAATCAATGAAGATCTAAATGAATAAATCACAATACTTACTAAGTAGGAACGCTGCTTGCTTGCTAGTGTTTTTATTCAATTATATACTGCTAAAACATAGCCATTCACGACCAATACAATTGTATAGCATAAACTCATTGCATTCTATTCCATCACTATCAGCCATACTTATCTCTAAATACTAGCGAACATGCTGAGAGTACCGTGCAACTACATGACCTTGCTATTTATTATACCCTTTATAACCACGTGACTTTCAAAGAAACCTTTCGAACACGCTACACAATACCATTCCGCACATAATTTTAAGAATTGAAAAGTCATATATTTTATCTACTTCAGCGATGAAGAGCAAATTCTGAGGGAACAAACTTTTCCACAAAATTACCATGGATAAAAATTCAATCAACTAGCTGCTAACACTGATGCAATATTTTCTGCTTGTGTCATGGTGCGGTACTTTTTCCTTTTGATGTTGGTCATACTTTAAATCAGATAGAAAACCTTTGGCTGAATTCCAACGTACTATAACTTCTAGGGGGCGGAGCTTCGCCGTACAATAACTTCAAATTTACCGTACAATAACTTCCGACAGAATTCGATGGTTTTTAAATATTTTTTTTTTCAATTTCTGTAAGCTTATACACAATATCCAGAGGAAACATGAGAAATCTCACAGAATCTGACCCCCCCCCCCCTTCACTCTATAAATGCATACGTGACAGGGATGGGGTAATTGAACAAAAAAGTAATTGTACTTGACTGTAATTAATTAATTACAGTTTTTGTAAAGTAATTATAAAGCAATAAATTACATGATTTATAAAGCCTAGCTGTAATTTAATTGGAGAGAAAGTCAAAGTAATTCTAATTTGATTAATTACTTTTTAATGTAATCGACTCCATCCCTGAACTAGGTGAAAACCATTTGCAAGAGAAATACACGTAAACTCATTAGTTAACTGCTTTAAACAAAAAATAAAAACAATACACAGAATTTCACTAAAAACACGTATATTCAAATGAAAACATTTAGATAATTTAAATCTGACAATATTGAAAACACGTGCAGTTCGATGATTTTCTTAAAAGTACCTGTTTCCCGGGTTCCTTGGGTTACATGCACACTGATACATGTTCGTATAATATACAAGTATGCATTCGGACTTTTTCACAATGCATTCCATAATTTTGACACCTGTGGCTACAGTACTCTATTCGGATTTCCTCCGGACATGCAACCATATGGATGATCCGTAGTAACAGTAATGAAGCGGATCATTTTGCGGACGGATCCAGGTTTCCAGTACCTTATGTTTTTTTTTTGAAATATTCAAACTGCTTAAATTAATCCATCAAATACAATTGCACACTCTTTCAACATCGCTTTACTTTCCAATGCAACCATCTCCTTCATACTTTCTGATTTGTTTGAACCGTCTACGATGGACCTAGGCCCGTGACGTAATGTCGCGTGCAGTTTGATGTCGAGGGAGTGGCTATGCAAATGACGATGACACAAGACATTTACAGACATTTTCTTTCGTTTGTAAGGAATTTATTATACAGAGAGGCGTGGCTGTCTCGTCGCTGCGCGACTCGACTGTCACGCCTCTCTGTACAATAAATTCCTTACAAACGAAAGAAAGTACTGTAAATATAACATAAATCATCATTTAGAAACTGGGAATCGTGGTTTCAATATGCTCAGAATTGTATTTACAAGTACATGTATAAACTATACGCAGTTTGTCTCATAATTTCAGGAGTAGAGATATATGGTACAGAAATGTATAATAAATTTCAATTTATGACCGATTTGTCCTGGTCCTCCCATTTTTTTATTTCTACCCAAGCATCTTTTGTGGCTCTACAATATCCCTGGGGACTAAGATGTAAAAATCAAGAATCTGCAATACTAGTACTCAGTATTTGAAGTTTTGAATTTTTGTAGGCTTTGCATGGCCCTGCTGTTTCTTAAGAAGAATTTTTTTCCAGTGTAAAACTTGGATCCTCAATTGTAGCCTCAACCTACCGGTATCTAAGAGAGCCATGATTTTGTAACGGGATAGGAGAAAGACTTGGATTCGAATTTGGGCCCCCTGAATCTTCGGTCTGGGGCTCTACCAACTGAGCTTTCCGGCCACCTGCGATTTAATCCGGCTGACTTCATGCCGCATTCCTCCCTCCTTTAAGGTCTTTGCTCCCTAAAAGATCCCAACCCAGGCTCATCCTTGGCATGCCTCGCACCAGTTACATATGTAGATCCAGGGAGTAGGCACAACACCAAATGTAACGGGAGAGGAGAGAGATGCAGCGGACTAGACCAGGATCTGAACATAGGCCCTCGGAATCTCCGGTCAGGGGCTCTACCGACTGAGCTATCTGGCCACCAGTGATCAATCCCAGCTGACCACCACAATTTTATATTCTGAATTTGTACTATCCAAGGATACTTGCAAATTAATATGACTAAAAATAGTCTTGCTGTTGAGAAGAATTTTTTTCATTTATTTCCTACATGAAATTTTCAGTCCTTATGGAGATCATAACCCCCCCCCCCCTTTGACCGCAATGGGAACAAATTCAAATAAGTCTAGCCCGAGGATGCTTGTGTATTGGCTTGATCTGTTGTACTTGGAAATACTTTTTACCTATACAATGCACTACCTAGGATGCTTGCACATGAATGGTAATAAATATGACTATGCTGTTCATGACCTATACAGGTCTTATTTCCATCAACATGCTAAGAAAGAAAAAAAATAACTGAACATTTTTATGACTCACTTTTTATTTACACAATCATTTTTTGTACTTTGGTTGGTAGGCAAAAGCTACAAAAAATTGTATGCAATTATGTACAGCCCAATGACAATGCCACTTGAATCAACTCAATGACTATGAACATATGATCAACAGACAACAAAGTATACATAACCCCAGACCCGGAGCCTGGTTCCTGTCAATAAATAGTCATCTGTATTTACAACACTTCAGTATTGTTCTGAACACACCCTTACTACCTTACTGTCACCTTGCTTCATCAATTTTAACAACATTTTCATCAGTAAATTTTGTTTCTGACAAAAAAAAAGTCCCCAGTTTAAAACACTGGATTGTACTCTAAAAAAAATTGCCAAAAAATATAATTGTTTAAAAACTTCACAATTTGAAAAAGATAAAAAAAACTAAAATAATACAATTTTTAAAAATTTGAAATGATTTTATTGCTTCCTACAGAAAAGCCAGACCTCTACGGAGCAGACATATTATCAGATAGATTGCCCTCATACACATTCAACTAGTAATAACTTTATACAACGACACTCAACATTCATACCCTTACATCCATACACAAAATCAATTGTTCATCTCGCAACGCAGTTATTTCTCATCAACATTCATACTACTTTGTACTTAATGAACGTAAATATTTATGATTTTTTATCCTTAGTAATGACATCTACATGTTGGCATTCTATTTCATTTAAAATATTTCAATATTGATGACGTTGTATACAAACTCCAGCCCATTTCAGGGCCTGGTGTAATATTTGGTTTCCCCAATATCATGTCTAGATGTGATATAAGTAAGTTCCATTTAATGATTTTCAACTTTTTAAAAAAGAATCTTTGCAATAAATAATTTTGATACAATGTATACTTTCTTTTCTATACATGTAGTGGTAATAGTTTAATAAAAAATTCTGTTTAATGCAAACTGATGATGAAAATTTAAAAAAAAAAAAAATAATGTTCTAAAATTTCCAAGCCGACTCAAAAAAGTAAATTAATAATTTAAAACAGTAGTCAAAATTGTTCCCTCATAACAAAATCACTAAATGCCTTTCATAATTAAACAACCAATTCTTTAAAATGCAGACTGATAATGCGGATCTTAACACTTCCTCGACTTTGAAACAACCTATTTGTATTATTAAAATGTATCTTTTGATGATGACAATAAATATATGTATCAAAAGAGGTAGAAAACAAATAAATACAGTAGACTGACTTGTTAGATGATCACAAAAAGGAGGTCCCTTATCTACATAAGTAAAAAATTAAACGAGTTTTAGACATCAGTTTTATAAAGGAGGCATTGTCCTGTAGTGTTATTGTCCTATGTACATTATTCTTCTGAGACAATCGTAAACACCAGCTAACTTCGTGATGATTGTGTAGAGGAAATTTTTCTGCAGTTTATGAAAGCAGAGAGCAGTTACGGAAATAACTTACAAACAGAAAGATTATAGAATACATTTATAAATTTGTCTTGATCTTTAAATGATTCAAACTATTAACAAGATCAAAAAACTTGCCTGAAGTCGTACTTTGAAATGAAAATACTGAATAAAAACGCAAAATTGGACTTTATATTTTTAGTCTCTTTACAAAACTTTCATTTTCTTTAGACAGAACATTAACAGATTTGGTATAAAAAAAATTACTGAAAGCGATGAATTCAAATATAAGCTGCTCTTTCTAACTTGTCTCTAATTAACGTTCTTAAAATATCCCACACAAAATCATGTCAACAAAGGACTGAGGTACAAAAAACCCAGAGAATGTTTATTATTATATACATATGACATAAATAAACCTGATGTAATCACTCATTAAGTTTGGTCAACTGTCTGAGAGTTTTTATACAGGATATGTAATTAATGATTATAAATATCAACCTGTCCCTGACATTAATGATTCTGACATTAGCTTCTTAGTTAAACTCTAAAACCCTCTCCTTAACTTTTCTTTCATATCAAATCCTAGTAAATATATGCAGTTTTTTTTTTAGAGAATTACAATGGTATTGTTTACTTAAATAATAGAAAACCTAACAGAATCTAAAATCAATAAATACCTCCTATTACAGAAGCAACAAATCATTAATTTTATATTGTAAACTGAACTTTTATTCTCAACATGTAAAACACAATTTAGCTTCCGCTCTGTTGACACTATACTACGACCTCATTTTTTTTTCATTCAGTCCTTTTCAAAATATTAAAACTGACTAATGTAATGGGTGAGTTAGAGATGTGATCAGTTATGTGTAGGAATGTAACTTAGTCCAAACCAGACCGTGTTTGTATACTGAGTAGATGGACACACCTATCATCTAGTGTTCAGGTAAATCTGTGTATTGCAGTTTTTCAGTACTAATATCAAACTTTTAAAATAAAATCATTATAATAAAGCAATTTTCTCCACCAATTTATAAAGATTTGTTTAAACCTCACTCCTGTTCAAAATTCCTCAATATGTTGACTGAAAGGACAAAAAATATCAATTAAGAAATTTAATACCTGCAAATTTGTATACATTTTGTATTATTTTTCCCTACTTCTTGATTCTTCTGAGTGAAAGTCTTAGTTCCATAATCTAATTTTAAATTTCATTCAAAAGCACAATGAAAGAGACACTGCAATACTGAAACCCCTGCCACATTGATAATCTAGGAATAAATGTCATGTTTTAATTTTACATGTATATCATCACATATCATTCACTACCTCTTATGTCATACGGCTATATCATATTTTGATTTTGAGAAAAAGAGATCCAAGGAGAATATTCTCATCAAATTAAGAAAACATTGATAAAAATACTGTCAATGCCATACATTATTGAAATTTACAACCAAGAAAATGTCTTTCTTTCTCACTATACCATCACACAGCACTACGACTAGAATGTATACATATCTGTTGTTTGACATTTGATTACATGATCAGTTTTAAATTAAGACTAGTTTAAGGGGATAAAAAATCTATACCATGTTGCTTGTCTTACAGGACCGATATGAAACCATTATGTTATTGTAACATAATCATTACTTTTCAAATTTCTGAACAATTCTGCAATAGCACTTCTAATACTATTTGTAATCATAAATTTATATTGGTGCTTTTCTAATACACATATGTATCAGTATCAAAATGTGTCTTAATTTTCTTTTCTGTTTAATAATTTCAGGATACAGCTTCAAGATGACCATTACTAAGAAATAATTTGCAGAATTAAGGGAATACCAGGCTATGTAACGCCACACAATCTTGAAAACTGGCAGAAAATGCAATCTTGCTTTCATTTAGAAAAAAATGTTTATATCAAATTTACTTGAACAAGCATTGTAGAAAAGTAAAACTCATTAGAAAAAAATTACACCTTTTCAACATTAAAAACTTTTAAACTTTTAAATTTGTTATGATAATCAAATTTTTGAGTAATACAAAACAGTTTTCTTTGTTTAAAAACTGCATTATATGACACTAAATGTAAATTGTAACACATAAAAAAAGATACATTAATCTCAAAACTTTTAAAAGATCTGTAATAATGGGACTGAGAACAATCAACTAAAACTGAGCTCAATGTAGTCATACATTCAACAGTGTATACATTTCAACCCATGCCCAAATAAAACATTCTCTCTAAAAACAAAAGTTTGTTTTGACACAGAGTCTATGATAAAAGCAGGACCAGTCTGAAGAGGGTTGACCAATATCATGTCAACACGGCTGGAAAGAATTTCATAAAACTGACATCATAATGAAAAACAATGAAATATGGTAGAAATGAGATCACAATAACATCTATTTTAAGACATGACTATGAAGGATAAAATGAGAGAAAGAAAAAAAAAACACTAGCATTTTGTCGTTTTTAAGTGATGCATGGCAATATGTCCGTTCGCAATATGGACGCCGTTCATTTGAGCGTAACTGCTACTGGAACTCTTTGAGCTGTCCTTGCTATCGTCACTTGACCCTATTGCACTGTAAGGATTGGAACAAGAACTAAACTGATGCTCCGGAAGTAGCTCCGGATTGCTCTCCTGCGTTAGAATGCAGTCACAAGGCTCTGTGCCATTTAGCATCAGTTTGTCCGCTTGTGAACGAGAATATAACACATTATTCACTTTATCAATCCTCAGTTCGGGGAATAACTCCCCATTCTGATTCGAATGCTGTGTTTCCTCATAGTCTGGGGGACAGTAATCATTCCCGATGTCTATATCATCGTCTAATTCTTGGTCCTGGAGCTCGCGGAGGTCCACGCCCCCTTCCGCTCCTTTCATGTCACACTCGTCCTCATCCTGAATGAATGGCATTTTTGACTCGTCCATTTCTTCATCACCTTCCTCTATGTATTCTAATGAATCTTGTTTATTTTCATCACTGAAAAAGTATGACTTGTGGGCAAATGATGGGTCTAATTCTGGAACCAATTCCTCTAAAATCTCCTTGAAAGTTGGTCTCTGTTTTGGTCGATAGCGCCAACACTTTTGCATTAATTCAAATCTGCAAGCAATATATAAAACATTAGCTATTTCACACTGGTTTACATTTAGAATCTATTTGTTTGAAATTAAATTCTTTTTAAGTCCAAATGAATAATAGGCAATTTTTGGTTAAATTATTACATCTTACTTGATAGTAAAGCAAAGAAGTTTTACAACCCTTCCTCACTCTTATTCAATCATGAATGCATGCAAGTGTTTAAATTACGTGACACTGAACTTTTAACCCATTTATACCTTCCTGATGTTTTCTCAATTTGTTAATATGCTAAGAAATCATACAATATATTAAGAAATCATACAAACAATTTTCTTATTAAGTTTTAGCCCGGTTACCTTGGTTACCTGTGGTATTACAAACAATAAATATATCTGCTACTTACAGTCTGTCTGGACAGTCTTCCGGTTTTTCCATCACGCGCCCGTTCAGCACGTACCTCAGGACCTCCTCATTCGACAGGCCCTGATAAGGCTGGGCAGCTAGAGTGGCCATCTCCCATAAGACCACTCCATAAGACCTGTTAAAACACACTCCCTATTATTCATCCTATTTATTACTTTTATTATTAACATTTAAATTTTCTGAAGACAAGTTATTCATGTTCATAAATGAATGCTTTTTTCATACATCACATAATTTTCACATTCCTCAAAATGGAATAGTTCTTCAGAGAGGGGCTGCTAACTTACCACACATCGGACAGACTGGTAAATATCCCGTCTTTTAATGATTCGGGAGCCATCCACCTCACCGGTAATAATGCTTTGCCCCCCTTCCTATAGTAATCTGTCTCATAAATATCTCTTGTCATGCCAAAATCTGCAAACATTGAAGAGCACAGATCCAAGTCTCATAGCACATACAAAGTCTTATGTATCAACTTTTTCATTTTGCTATGATTTATCATCAAAAGATTAGATTAGTGTTAAATAATGTATACTTGGTCAAATCACTTTAAAATATAATATTTAAAAGATATTAAGACTAGCTTTTGGAATCCGATGCCTAGGGAGCCAGGTGCTCCTTTACTTCCCTGTGTATACTGACCTGCGATTTTGACAGTCAGGTCTTCAGCAACCATACAATTCCTAGCTGCTAAATCCCTGTGTACAAATTTCTTATCAGCTAAATAGGCCATGCCATCAGCTATTTCTCCTGCCATCTGAATAATTCGCTTAATGGTGGGTGGTGTTCTACTTATGTTTTCCTGAAAGTAAATTTATATCATCTTAATATTTCTCAAGAGAAAATTTAAATACTGTAAACATACTTTTTTCCACAGGGTCATAATTCCACGGAATCTTAATTTCTGTTTAATCTGCGGGTAGAAAATTACGCGGATATTTTAGACTGTCATTACATGCCTTACATTTATACTACTGTAAATTCCTTATTTTTCATGAGTACTTTTTATCGCGAACTGGATCTTTAACATCAAATCGCGAGAATTATAATTCACGAATGGACGGTTAATCAACAGAATTTACATAGACTTTAGCACCATAAAAATAAAAAGTATTATTTTTTCACGAGTGACGTTTCTCGCAAAATTACGCAGAAATTAATTCCTCGTGTATAATTAGGAATCTACAGTAAGTATGCTTGGACAAAATTCCGCGGAAAATGTGTGACCGTGTACATAGCGTAAATTAATAACTGCACGCAGAAAAATGTACAGTACTTCTACAGTAGGTTCAATCATTGGGCTAGCTCATATCAAGTCATAAACATCATAAAAAAAAATTTCAACATAGATTAAATTTCACACACATACATTGAAAAAAAAAATATCTATGTATATATTTATGATAATACGAACCTTTATTCCAGCAAATGTAGAATCAATGTCCTGTAAACAGAAATGAAGATCATTTTGATAAGGAAGTTGAAGAACAACTTAGTACTGATATTGCATATTGTCCAAAATCAAGTCACAGCAGTTCTCTACATGTTGCTAAATTGCAACTAAATTCGACATTCTCTTAATGTGGTGAGGGTCTGTCCAGAGACAACTAGATTATTCTAGCCATAGAACAATTAACAAAAAAAAATTCTAGTTTCTTCAACCTTTACTTTCCAATCTCATTCATGAACATGTTAAAAGTGTAAGACATGACTCACTTCTTCTACTGGTCGATGCATCCTGAGAAAATTCTTGAGATCGCCTTTCTCCATCAGTTCCATAATAAGTAGGGCTGGCTGGCCATCCGAGACCACACCTAGTAACCGAACTACATGGTTACAGGAAAAGGCCCTAAAATCAAAGTCAACAATGAATTATGTAAAACTGAAACACATGGGTAAGAATAAGGCCATAAAATCAAAGTCAGCAATGAATAAGTATAAAACTGGACCACATGGTTACAGGAAAAAGCCTTAAAATCAAAGAAAATACTGAATTTGTATTTAATAATGAATTCCATAAAACAAATTGACAATAGTTTAACAAAAATTCCTTTGATTTCTTCAAATTTTAAGATAAATGCAACATAAAATTGCCAACACTTGTTTGAAATAACAGAATCTTTCAGTATGTTGGCAAAGTAGGAATAAACTTGTGTTATAAAGTAGGAATACACTCTTTCTTATTGAGCTTGTTTTTCTTGAAGTAACAGTGGTTCTTACTTCATTCTAGATGCTTCGCTGAGGAACTCCATCCTCTCTCTGTATGTGGCATGTTCATTGACAGTCTGAAATTTTAAAACCATTTGGATGAACATATCATTTTTCAGGTCTTTTTGAGTTTTATAATGCTGTTCAACCTTTAAATCTTTAATAACAAGTCTATTTTATTCGCCCTGTTATTCTAACATTCTCTCATGAATGAATGAATGACCTATACACTTTCTTGAGTTTATGAATTACCTGAATTACCTATACACTTTCTTGAGTTAATGAATTACTTGAATTACCTATACACTTTCTTGAGTTTATGAATTACCTGAAATACCTATACACTTTCTTGAGTTTATGAATTACCTTGACAGCCACTTTGATTTCCCCTCCTTTTCCGTACAGGTCTCTGGCGACACCTTCGTACACCATACCAAATGAACCTTGTCCCAGTTCCCGGATAAGCTGAATCTTGTCACGCTCTACTTCCCATTCATCAGGGTTGTAATCTGTATCAAATGTTCAGCATTAGAGCAGAAAAGCCAATAAACTAACGAAGTGCAATCAGATACACAAGTCATTTCCTGCTTCTGTACAACTAAACAATATTAATTTTTTTGATAGGATTAAATTTCGATTTCACGATCCCTCTTTTTCGTCAATTATCTTAAAGAAATATCTTAAATATGAAAAATGACTTTATAAACAAAGTGCATCTGTTGCACTTGATTCACCCAAATGGAAATAAATACCATTATCAATATGCATTATGGATATCTCCTTTACATTTAAAAACATTTGTAAACAACACTCATAACACAACATGTATGATTGTATCTATCATTTCATATATGCAGTTCAATGCCCGTTTCAAAAAAACATACAAGCAACCAAATTCTACATCTCTATACCATTTCTGGATAGAGAATAGATGTGCGCTAGTCCATTTTAACTTGCATGTTTTTTAGCACTGTTGTGAATAAAAAATGATGTCAACAATAGAGGAATTTAAATTTTACAACATTTCAAACATTTCCCATAAGCAAAGTAACAAGAGGCCCATGGGCCTTATAGGTCACCTGAGCATTATGCAACAACTTTCCAGTCATTGAATTTGATTCATGTTTTAAGCCAGATGCTATGGCATTCACAATTTTGAAAGAGGCACCATTGATCATCATAACTATATACTTAGCAGTTGCTTAGTTTGGTTACTTGATACCCATAGGCAGGGTAGGGGAACAAAAAATGCATTTCAACTAATCAGTAATATTCAGCAATAATCAGTAGTGCCCCTACCACACATGAAAACCTGACCCTTAGGCCTAGATCAACACATTGCACAATTTTTGAAAAGGCGTCCTTCATGCTTTTCAAAAATATTTGATTAATACCAAGGAGCAGATTTCAAACAATTCATTCATTTTCAGTATATAAGTACAGCCCCCTCTCTATGGTACCCCTGACCCTGGGGCCTTGAAATTCACAATTCTGGAAGATTAGGGCCCTTGTTCATCATAACTATATAGGTAGTTCATCTGCTTAATACCCAGGAGCAGAGAAGAAAATTTTCAAAGATTTAATGTATTTTCACTATATAATCAATAGAACCCCACCCTAACACCAGAACCCCTGACCCTGGGGCCATAAAATTCACAATTTTGGAAGAGGCATTTTTGCTCATCATAACTAATATGTTCCTAGTTAGATTATTTAATACCTAGGAGCAGAGAAGAAAATTTTCAAAGAATTCATGTATTTTCACTATATAATCAATAGAGCCCCACCCTAACACCAGAACCCCTGACCCTGGGGCCATAAAATTCACAATTTTGGTAGAGGCACTCTTGCTCATCATAACTGTGTACTTAGTTGGTTTATTTAATACCCAGGAGCAGAGAAGAAGATTTTCAAAGAAATATTGCAATTTAACTATATACTTAATTAGCCCCCCTCCCCCTAGCACTAGAACCCCTGACCTCAGGGCCATGAATTTCACAATTTTGGTAGAGGACTCAATGCTGATTACAATCATGCCAACAGTTTGACTGCTTGATGTCCAGGAGGATTTTTGAAGATTGCATTAATTTTAGTGGTTTTAACCCCACCCCTCAGGCCCCAGGGGAACAGGGACCATGATATTTATAATTTTTGTTCCCCTTCACCCATAGATGCTTTATGCAAAATTTAGTTGAAATTGGTTCAGTGGTTGCAGAGAAGAAGCTGAAAATGTTCAAATGTTAACGCATGATGCACAACGCACGACGACGGACGAAAACGGATAGCAATAATGCTTTTGATTTAAATTTAAAGTAAGTTTGGTAAAATGATCATACGTTCATAATCCGGGTTGATGGAGGTAAAATCAGGTCTGTCTGGTATCTTCTTGAATCTGCTACGAGCGATGAACCACACACCGATGACGACGATGAGAATTAGGAGGAGAACCCCCGACACTGTGACAGCGATGATTGTTTCAGGAGGCCACTCAGATTCTATAACAAATGAAAGTTTCAATAGTCTCAGATCAGCAACTTCAGAGCTTAACAACTTTCATGCACCAGGATCCAGTAAATGCATTTTATTATTTTTTGCAGAACCATTGAACCACTTATGTTGTACTGAGCTCGTTTAACAATTTGTTTGCATACTAACTCTGAACATCCACTCTATCTTTGCAACATTTCTTTATATCTCTTTTTTCTTTGTTCAATAAAGGTCTTTTTATTTACATGTTACAACCACCTTATGGAATGGCTTCTAACAATAACTTACCAGTCGCTGGAGCAGACACAAAGAAATATTTCGGCTCAGTGTAGTTGGTTGTGAAGGCCAGGGAGGTGGCCCGTATCTGTACAGAGTAGTTCCCAGGCTCCAGCTTCTGTAGTTTATAGCCGTGAATCTTCTTATACTTCAGGTGAGGTACACACAGAGTATTGGGCTTCACCTATAACATTAAAAATCATCAAACAATACAAAACTCGTCATCTGGACCAATACACTGTGACAAAAGAACAAATGTTTAATATAGTCCAAAGTTTTTCATTTTATCGTGATGTTAATTTTAATTTTAATACTTTTTCTCATTATGTTGAAAAACAAAACATGATCATTCTTTTTTAACTTACATCTTTGATGACTTTGCTGTACTGAATATCATAGCTTAGAATGAGTCCGTTGGGGGTTTTAGGCTCATCCCAATTCACAATTACTTCCCCTGTCTTGTTCGTCATTTTGTAAATCTTGATTGAATTTCGATCAATGTTATCAGCTTTTTCTACAAAATAACATAATTCATTAATAAGTAAAGTTAAGAAGATGGCCTTTGGCCAGAATGCTCACCGTCAATCAGAAAAGGTCACTTGAATTTTAGGCTCTGGCAAGCTAAAAAACATTCCCTCCTTTCACTCTACATCCAGATCCACATGTATTAACACTTCTGGGATTCACCAATACTTTTGAGGCTAAAAGACTAACAAAATTCACTGACACCCCCCCCCCTCAATCTTCCATACCCTATTTTTTTTGGACACATCATTCTACTTACTGTCTGGTAGGGTCCTGGCCAGTGATATAGCCCGGATACTACAGAGCTTCATTTTGGCTGGATCCCGAGGGTCTCTCTCCTGACAAGCTATCACCTATTGAATAAAGATCACATAAACCATAGATATACGTTTAAAAATAAAAAAACATAGGTAATCAGAGATTACAGAGCTCACCTCAACGAATGTTGTCTTTAAGTAAGGCAAATTAAGTCACACAATTAACCAACAAAAAGTGTTATACATCCAAAAATGCAAAATTTATGCAATTTTGATACTTTGGAATAGACCTATATAAAAACTTAAAACTAGTTCTTCATCATGAAAATGTAATTAAAATCCAGCATCTGAAGCAAGATTGAGAGTTTTCATCCATTGATGCATCATTTGTGCAACTTTGGTTTATATAAGCCTTATAGTTTCTTGGTGATAGACCTGCACCCATAACTTTTACGAGGTCTATTATCTGGAAAATGTATGTCGAATTCAGCATCTGAAGTAAGTCCATTAGTGTGCATCCTAAGATGTATCATCCATGCATGTTTGTTCAACATAGAGCTCAAAGTTACTTGGAAATGAAACCTGTATAAAAAACTAACCTTTTCACTAATCCAGAAAATGTAGGTCAGATTCAGGTTCTGAAGCCAACCTAGTAGAATGCACCCTTAGATGTACCATCCATGCAAGTTTGGTCATTATAGGGCTCAAAGTTACTTGAAAATGAATCCTGCACCAAAAACTTTAACCTGTTTGTTTACTCATCCAGAAAATGTAGGTCAGATTCAGCAAAAGCAAGTCTGGTAGTATACATCCTAAGATGTACCATCCAGGCAAGTTTAGTCATTATAGGGTTCATAGTACCTTGGAAATGAAACCTGCACCAAAAATTTTAACCTGTTCACTCAAGCGGAAAATGTAGGTCAGATTCAGCATCCGAAGCAAGTCTTGTAATATGCATCCTAAGATGTACCATCCATGCAAGTTTGGTCATTATATGTCTCATAGTAACTTGGAAATGAAACCTGCACGAAAAACATAAACCTGTTCACTCAGCCGGAAAATGTAGGTCAGATTCAGCTTCCGAAGCAAGACTGGTAGTATGCATCCTAAGATGTACCATCCATGCAAGTTTGGTCATTATATGTCTCATAGAAACTTGGAAATGAGACCTGCACCAAAAACTTTAACCTGTTCACTCAACCAGAAAATGTAGGTCAGATTCAGCATCCGAAGCAAGTCTTGTAATATGCATCCTAAGATGTACCATCCATGCAAGTTTGGTCATTATAGGGCTCATAGTATCTTCGAAATGAAACCTGCACCAAAAACTTTAACCTGTTCACTCAACCGGAAAAAGCATCCGAAGCAAGTTTGGTAGTATGCATCCTAAGATGTACCATCCATGTAAGTTTGGTCAACATAGGCTTATAGCTACTCGGAAATGAGACCTACACCAAAAACTGCACCAAAAATGTTAACCTGCACCAAAAACATTAACCTGGTCATTCCTTTGCTGAAATTGCAGCATCTGAAACTTTCACTGGTACAATGAAATACATTAGAAACATCTTCCATGCATGTCTAATCAATATAGGACATAGAAGTACTTAAAAAGAAAACTGCTCCAAAAAACTTAATCTTAACCCGGGACGCCGACGCCGAGGGTATCACATAAGCTCCCCCTAACTTCGTTGAGGTGAGCTAAAAATGTGTCATTCCCAAAAAAAGAAGATTAAGGACATACGCAAGGTACCTAACCTACTGATAATTTTTCAAGATATTCTTAATTTAAGATTATGGTGCCATCAGATGTTCACAGACAAAAAAATCAGCATTCATTACCAGGGGTTTTTGAAAGATATCAAATAATGAAAATTTTTGCATTATTCAAAGAAAATTATGCAAAAAATATGAAACATAAATTCCAGATTTTTTCCCATCAAAATTTGTTGTAGAAGAGGTGTAAAAATCCATATATATAGACATTAAAATTATTGCACACAGGTCCTTTATTTAGTGGAACTCTTCAATCCCAGGGAAGAACCCAATAAAGTTCAAACTACGTTGCGTATGACCTTATATACATGAAAAAGCAGTAATTATTGTAAAATACTGTATGTGTACATTATTTGGTGTATTCAAAATTTAGTGTGATCACTGGGTATGGAGTTGTTGGCATAATTATAAATTAGCGCTACACATGCCCATTCAGTGTATTGTATATGTAAATGATTTCTTGGCGGTATTCATGAATTAGCGCATTATTGTCTGTGCCAAAGCCACTAAAATATGAAGCCTGCTTTTTTAAGTACACATACAGTATATTACCCAGTTACAAAAAACATAATAATGAAAATTCTAAATTTCTGTGTATCAAGAAATTAATCATTTTCTTTATTCCCAATTACTATTCTGTATTTTTAATTCAGTTTTACATTTCACATGGATATTGAAACTGTTGTTAAATATGAATATTTTTCGGAGTTTATTCTAAGGATGACATACCTCAATCCTGTAGTCTTGAAAGTGGCCCAAGTTGCTGATGATGTAACTCATATCGTTCTTCTGTACGGGAGTCTGAACAATGACCTTTTTAAATGGGAGATCTTTTTCTGTCTCATTGGCTGTCTCATTGTCATTTTCTAGGGACTCGTTCAGATTGAACTTGAGGTGGCCGGGGACTGAGGAGTTATACTGCATGGATGCCTCTCGACTGTACCGCTTGGCTCTCTGGCGGGTGAACTTGGGGTTCTGATTTTTTGGCAGTCTGGTAGGACGTGTCATATTGAAGTTGAACTTGCGATTTTTTTTGAACAGTTTTTCTGCTTTTTTGCTGTCCATTCTATAAGAAATACATTAGAAAACTAGTTATCATTCATTTACATGATCATTTTCATTAATTTTTAAATTTATTAGAAAAGGAAATATTACTCCGTTTTTTCTTAGGTTGACCAAATGGAATTAACAAATTTAACACTGTGTAATTTCATTTTATTTTATTTAGTTATAAGTTAATTAATAATTCATATTGGTGTTAAGTTAATGAATTATATTCCTGAAATAATCACTCGTGTTAATGGTAAAAAGTGCTTAAACGCAATCAATATAAAGACTAGTGATTAATTGGTGCTGTGATTTAGATCAACTTAAAATGTGTATCAAATATATCGTGCATTTCAAGATTCTTGGAGGCTGCACTTTTATTATAAGTGTTAAATAAAGTTTTCTTTTTTAAGCTTAAAGAATATTTTGATTTTAAGATAAAAAGGAAATCACTTTCTTTAAGTAATCTCAAGTGCAACAATCCAATGATCTTCACATGCATATAGACTAGCTAGCTGTCAGATATTACAAGAAAACAGAATCTATAAATAAATTTCACAAAGGCATATACACTTTTTAATGTGTTTACACATATGCTAGTATCTAAATATATATTGAAACAGGTAGCATCACTCTATACTCAGAGATAGGCCTGACAATAGCATATATTCAAGTCTATAACATCATAGATTATGCACAATTCTGGAAGGAAGAGTGAGAGAGGGAGGGAGGGTAGTAAGGGGAACAGCCATGCTCAAGTTGAAAGAATGAAAAGGCTTCAGTCCTAATCCCAAAGCTGGAAAAGAATGTCTGAAAAAACCGTGAAGTAATACATCATAGATGACTAGCTCAGTCTATCAACTTGACTGTTGGTAACCTCTTGATTTCAGCCACTGAAATTGCTGAAAACTAGCTACATAATTAATCAAATGATCTTCCTGCATCCAAGGAAAAGTTCATCTGTATGATATTTGAATGATCAGTTTTAGTGAAATCAGTACAAAACATGAAATGTAGGTAAGTCTAATACTAATGGAAGTTTTAGAAGATGATTTTCTACTATAATATAAAGGTGTAAAAGCATATAAAAGTACTTTTTTGCAACTACGTAGGTATGGTGAACTGGCTGTAAAGCTTTCATATTCAAGAAAAGAAAAATTAAACCGTATCTCTTTTTCTGATATGACACACTGAATATACAATACAGGATTGCTATTTTGTAACTATAGCCCTTGTGGGGAATCACAACTGTTTAAGTGAGGAAACACCTAAATACCACAAAGACAGCACTTTTTGAATTTGCAGTCATTCACGTGGAGGATTTTTTCTTCTTCGAAATTTAGAAAAACATTAAAAAATTAATCCATGCAAGCCAAAAACCTAGGTGCATTAGGTGAAAGCCATTATGAATGCCATGTTTCATGCATGTCATTATAGTAAAGGATAAAGGAAATTCAACATTCTGTTGAGGATTAAGGTAAAAATAATATCAAAAATATATATATGATAAAAAATTTTGCATTGCATTAAACCTCAAGCCAAAAAGAGAAAGAATTTTTAGCATGAATTTAACTTGTGCAAAAAATAATATAAACTTGGATATTTTTACATTTTGATTTTCTTTCTTTTATTGAATGCCAAAGTTGATAATTCAGGGTTTTTTTCTTGCATAAAAAATACATTGAAAGCGACTAAACTTTTGGACAATATCTTGCCTTCTCTCTATAAAAGCAAACAACATCAATAATATGACATATGAATTTTTTTTTCTTTCAATTCTGCATTTAAAATATAAATATTTCTGTCATTTTTTTTTTTTAAATTTTGTAAGAGATAGATGAAATAATATTATTCCCTTTCTTCAATAATCTATATATATGTTGAGATCATGTCCACTGAAATTCATGCAAATCTTGTTTACAAACTCTTTCAGATACCGCACGATGCACATTATTAGTGTTGCTGGCGATTATAGGCAGAGGTGCATTTTATACTAGCTACAAAAAATGGTAGGCCGACTCTTTTAAATTTTTGGTGGTATGTGGTCAAACTCACGATGTGGGCAAATCAGCGGGCAAGTCCGGCATTGGTTTGGGGGGACCGTAATCTGTCCTGTGGTAATATTAAGCAATACAAGCCAATTGTGAATACTACAGATATTTGCTGACTATTAACACAAAACACATGATCAAAAAACACCTTTCCTCAAGACTAAAGCACGACATCAAAGAAGAAAAAGATATGTACAAAAGAATGAAAAATTAAACAGATGATATGATATTATTCAGAAATTAATCAAAAAAATTAAGAGTAGATGTATTACATTTAATATATGATTTAGAGAAAGAAAATACCTGGATAAACAAAATTTTAAAAAATGGATGACTTTCATTCAATGAAAGGAATTTACGAACATGAATATGATTGGGGATTAAAAGCTTGTAAGGTTTGTTATCAGACAATGAAGGGAAAATTGATCATATGTAATGATATTTTACATGGACTTCATTACTACATAGACATCCTCACAACACATTAAATCTGCAAGTTGTAGCATTTGTTTTACTTGGAAGAGAATTATTGAAATTGTCCATAAAAAAGTTTAATTCAAGAATAAAAATGCATCTGTATAGGTCTTATACTTACATTTGTGTTTATAAATGATAATACTTTTTGAGTGTTTACCCACTTTTAGAAATATGAAAATCTTACAGTTAATATATACCATTTCTGATAGGTATTCTAGGGTGTGATTAAGTTGAGCTTAATTTTCAAAAGTTAATATATACACATTGACAGGAAAATGGCCGCAAACTCCAAACCTTTTATTTCTGATTTTGGAAAAACTATTTCCAACAATGGGATGATCTTATTAAGGCTCTTCTTCATGGTTCTTAGTCTGATGTATACAACTTCCCTCCCTTACAATTCACTTTAAATTTGAAAACCACTATTTTTAATTTGATCATTAGCAGCAAAATCATTAAAGATTTCTTTTTTTTTTAATTTAATGTAGAAAACAGAAACACCTAGAAAACATAAAAGTCATTGTATTCATGACCACAATTTCAAGTTCTCTTGGTTTTTTTTAAACCACAGTAAATATTTCAAGTAGCATTATTTTGTGTTTAGACAAAAAATGTACTTTAGAACAAATGGGTCACAAAGGAAAAAAAACAACCTTAGGCTTAACCTTAAGGGCCATGGCTGCTCTGTGCTGTAAAAAAAGTCAGATTTTTCTCATTGGGCGACATTTTACTTTTTTGGGTCTAATTACACTTGTCAAAAATTTGGCTGTAAGGAACTTAAATTGTCTGCACTGTCAAAAATTAGCTGTTGGAGAGACAAAACAAAGCTATATTATTTAAATAATTGTAACTTGAGTAACTGACTTCATGCATTTCTTGGCTGTATAAATGTGACTAGGATGGGCAGGGTGTGGGTGTGTTTGTGTGTGCTCACAAGTCTGACTAGAGGCAGGTGCTTGGTGGAAATTTTAGCAAAGCTTTAAATAAAAATCTTTTGAATATCTCCCTTAATTCCTGAATATGTGTACATTTGTCTATAACATAATACACTAACTTAAAATTTCCAAATAATGAAGATCTCAGCAAAAGCATGATTATGGAAGGATGCATATATGTATATAAAATGGCTGTTTTCCTTTATCAGGCAACACACATGAAGGAGCAACAAAATATGATGGATGAGCTGTTAATTTAAGATGATTAGCACTTGGAAAGATTTATACTTTGTAGAGTAGAAATACATAATACACATCGACATTTATATCTAAGATCATGAATTAAATTCTATATAACACTGATGTTACATTTTAAAGAATGGGGAGTGGTAAAAGGAGAGAGAGGAGGTGATCTGCAATAATTATGGGTTAAAATAGTTGCAAGTAATATCACAGGTTGCAAATTTTCCTAATAATATATTTGTAATGCAAACTGTATATCTGCATGTAACTTTATTTTATAAATAACCCTAATACCCTAAACGTGAATAAAGGGTTAAATCCTTTAAAGAATTCTTATCAGAAAATGAAATTATGATCTAGCTGTAAAAAGAAAAAGAAGGGAGGGATGGGGGAAGTGTGTAAACATTTGACATTTCAGGTTGCTAGCCACCCAAGTTTTCAATGAAGGCCCTATATAAGAAGATTCACAGACACACTTACACCAGACTCAGTAGGACAAGACAAAGAGAGAGAGAGAGCAGAAAGTATCGCAGCAGATTTCAAGCCCAGAAGCACAAAACTGGCATCGGTTAACTATCTAGCAATCCAAATTTGAAATTCAAGTCTGGATAGAAGGAGAGAGAAAAGAAGAGATAGAAGTATCTAACATCAACACCAGACTGTGAACAAAACAAGACAATAGCCTCTCATTCTATACACGTACCAGTCTGCACAATTCAATCATATCTTAACACCTTAAAATCTTGATTGCAATTAGACATCTGTTTCAATCTAATCGTTTTTTTTTAACCATATTGATAAATTCCATCCCTTCTCCTCAAATCCCCAACTATATTCTTACGTCCACTTCCATTTTTCATTTCTTTTCCTTAACAAACACTTCCCATTTCTTCTTTCTTTGTGTGTTCACTTTAATCTCTATTCTATGATAACTACAGTACTTTTTACTAATTTCAAAACCCTATATACTAAGCTTGTCCTAATTCCAAACCCTACAATTAAACCTTATTTAAAATCCCCATTCTCTGAGGCCTGTTCAGTAGAGCTAATGTTCACGAACGCTCGCCAAAATTCCTTATACCTCCAAAAGAAATGTTTGTGAGCGCTTGCTCTGTGAATAGACCTCTGGTCTTCATTTCCAGTCAATCTCCTTATATTTGTTTTTGCTTTAAAGCATGTGCACTTGGCTATTCCCATTCTACTTCTCGTATCCCTCCTTCATTCTACATCCCTTCTACATCCCTTAAAATGTCTACACCTTTCGAACTTCTAATCTGAATGAACTAATAATTTTTTCAATAACAATAGTGTATGGTAATTGAAGCAAAAGATGGCAAAACACTTTGTTTTAAAATTGAAAGACTGAATATTCCCCGTGATTGAATTGTGCAGGGTTTTTTTCCTTCACACATACTTACAGAACAAGATAACATGTTTATTATAATATTGTTATTTCACTTGACAGATAATCATGTTTTTTTTACCATTAGAGGGACACGTCACACTGCATCAGAACTTTAGACTAGCTCTTAATTAACTCCAAGGATTAAGTATTCATTCACAGCATAACATTCTCAAAAGTAATGAAGCAAAATATAAAAAATTTCATCAGACAATGTTTTTGTATTGTCAGCTTCATGCCAAAGAGTACAGAAAATGCATAATTCATCAAAAATATACATGTAATGCAGCAGAAGAGATCAGACTATGAAAGTCTCCATTACCTCAAAGTCAAATTCAGATTACTGGGAAAACTCTATTTTTTTGTTTTTTGTTTAAATTTCCCTTTATGTTTTTTGTTTTGAATACTTTTATCATATATAATTTTTTTCTGAGTAGTTGAATTGAAACATTATAAAAATGAGCTTACTTAAATAAAGAACAAATTAAGACAAAGAAATATCATACCAAAATAAGCACCCATTGCACTTTAAACCTGGAAAGGGGCAATTTTAGTTAATGATTGTCTTAAAAAATATCTTCCAAACATAATCATTGAAAGTTTGTCCTTTTTTGACATAAATGAAAAAAATGTTACTGTAACATCACATTTTTTCATAGAGTGAATTTCATGGTTTGGGGCAAAATATGAATCTACTAGAATTTGATTTCATGAATAAAGAATTATTTAGTTGATATATCTATAAATATGGAACTTTAAAATGGATGATGGGCATGAAATAATTGGTCTTTTCATACCTTAAAAACAATGAAAATCAAACCCACTTAAAATTTAGTTATTGCATATATTTTACTCCAATTGCAATTAAGTATACCCCATCAGTAACAATAATCTTTTTTCCCCCAAGATATAAAGAACAAGTATGTAGTATTGACACTTATTAATGGGACAAACAGAGTTAAAATTTGTCCTTTAAATTTTTCACATCATTTTTATGTTTGAAAAAAGAACCATGAGCCAGAAAAAAATGTTATAAAGAAACCCTAAAATTCCCAATCACAACCCTATTTAATAAGAAAAAAAAAATCACTATGCAGAACAATATCTCCCAGTAAAACCATTTAGCATTCAAAACCAATGTTATGCCATGAACAAATACATAGGGAAAATTTTTGTTGAATTGTGTCAATACAATACAAACATTTAAATAATATAAAGATATATATATAAGTGAAAAATTAAATAGTATACAATACAAAAGGTTTTTTGTCAAAGTGAAACACGAAAATGAAACTAAAAGTAGAAACTAAAAATAACTCACTGTACTTTACAAGTGGTAAATGGTGGTTATATAAATAGAAATGGTAGGATTTCACCATTGCAATTTTAATCATAATTCATAATTTACAAGATGCATTCTACAATGACAATGAGTGAACACAAAAATTTTCCCTGAAGGTTTGGTTTTTTTTTGGTGGTCAAGTAATAGAGTTAAGTTTTAAATGCAGATGGTGCATCACTCATACATTTTTTTGTTTAATTTTTTTTTTCAATCTGCTTCATATCTTTATTACTTACCCATCTTGTTTGTGCCTAAATGTGATAACAAAGAAGTTGTAACATTAGGAAAAGATGGACTAGACAGGCATGGCCAGCATTGTTAGTGTTGAATACAAAAATAAACACATACATATACACTCTTAACACATCAAGACTCTTAAAACACACATTCTTAAGTGTTAGAACAAGCATTTGGTTTTCCTATCCTATTTTTTTCATTAAAGGAAAATTTGGCACATAAAACTCCCCCAAAAGGTGATGTTTTTGTTTGGAACTGGTTAGATTTTAAGGCTGAGATTCACCTAAGTTTGCAGCATAGTTGTATCCTAATGAGAGAAGTGTCCCCCCCATAAAATTGTGCAGCATTTTTCCAGTTTAGTGTGTTTTGTCTTATTAAAAGCACTTTTTAAAAGCATGATGGATGCATTTTTTTAACAGTATGAATAACAAAGAAAAGAAAAGAATAAGGACGAGACATTCAACACAAAGAGTGACAATTTTCATCTCACACGTTTACATGTGGCTCAGTCGGGAGTTTGTGCTCAGTGTTGTGAATTCCCATCTAATGAGAACATGGCCATGATTTTATACAACATTGATAAAAGTTCTAGAAAATCAATATATAAAATAAAAGCCTGATATAATGTTCCTCCCTTCATGCTAACTTTGAATAGAATTCCCCCCTCCGATTAGAGTAATTATGAACTGGAAGATCGAGTCACTGTACACATGTAAAATACATATATCCAGGTAACATTTAAATGCAGCAATTCTAATGAAATATTTCAATAGGTGAAAATTTTAAAAAATAGAATCAACAACATTTAAAATACAATTAAGATGATAAATACATACCACTTGCATTTTGATAGGGCATGCTGACACTCTATTTACAATATTTATATGACTAACATCGGGAACGAGAAAAAAAAGGTGACCTTTTTGTTTTACAAATTTTTCTAGCGACATTCCAATTCATAGGAAAAAATTGGGGGGAAAATATTTCAAGAACCGTGTTGGTGAATCCCCATGCAGTTTTAATTCCTGCCCTGTATGCTTCCCCCACCAATCATTAGTAGTGTTTCTCCAGATTATCATAGTCATTCTCTTTCTTGATTACTTCTAAGGAAATGGCAGACAATTTAATCTTAAAATTGGGGGGCACTCTGACTTAACAAATTGACATAATATTTGTAATTAGATTCAAAATGGTTAAAAATAAACACATAAATATTCAGCATATAATCTTGAAAATTCACTCAGAGTAAAGTCAATGCACAAGGGATAAACTATAATAGAGAAAACCCTATATATGTATAAATCACACAATGCAAACTTCTGCCATTTTTCCCTAGTCAATGTTAAGATGTTGTCATTGGCTATAGAAGCATGCAGCTGACATTTACCTCTTCAGGTAGACATAGTTATGTAAGAAGTTCTCAAACGCGATCTCTATTTCTCTCTCTTTCCTCTTCACCTCCTCATCCTCGTTGGACTTTGGACACGCGCATTCTCCCTGTACTGTCTTGTTGCTGAATTCTCGTCCTAACTGGTCCCGGCCAGCTTTTAGTTCATCCTGCTCATCATACAGATCCTCTGACTGTTCTATCAGTGTATCTAATGCTGCAAGTATGATATACATTTATCATTAGTCTTGTCAAATCAGCTAATACAACTCCTGTGACAAATCATTAATTCTTATTAAACACATACGTTCTGAGCAATAGTCTCTTTCATTAAATTTTTCATGCACCAATGGTCGTTTCCTCCAGTACACCTCATAATGAGTAACATTGCCATGCGGGTTGGAGGGAGGGTTCCACATAATTTTAAGGGTCCCTGGTGCTAATGCCTTCACTCGTAACTTGTCTGGTACGGTAGGATCTGTAATGACAAGTCCATTTCAAGTCTGTACACTTTTGTGTACTTCAAATATCTGTATAGAAAAGGTTCTTTTTAATCTAACAAAAACTTTCAACTACTAATCTTAGAATAACAGCTAAAATTTGTGAATTTAATTCCAAAAATAATAAATTAAAGATTTTATACATGAAATATATGTTTAAAAATCCAATGGTTATGCTTATAAAGTTAAGAGAAAACTTTTCTGTGATTATGAAACAATATTGCAATTAGTTGAAAAAAAAATTCTTATTTAGGGTTATTCCTGAAAAAATGTATGGGAAGGTTGGACGGCACGTCATATATTTTTGTATGGGTAATGGGGACTGGAGCAATTAAATTTGCATGGGTGGTTGTCCTCATCCGATATATTTTTAGATGGGTGGTTGCACTTTAACCCTCACATATAATCAACTGCAAAGAACTTCTTTCATTATGTATAAACCAGTAAATACTGACATTTATTTTTTTTTTTTTAAATTTCTTCCTAAACAGTTGTAAAGTGTGTTTACTTTGAAAGTGAAAGTAGGATCGAACAAACCGGAAACAAGAGCAGATAATTAGAAAAGCATGTGGTGTACTGACTGTAATGACAGTGGATGATTGTTACACGGATTCTTTGTGTTCTGGACTCAGCAGTATAATCAAACATGATGACATTGGTAAATTAAATGATATGAGAAACAATCATTGAGATCATTTTCATTTTAAATCGAAAATAGAAAAAAAAAAATGTATCTGAAATTAACATTTTAGAGCATGGTTATGGAGTTTGCAAGTCAATTTTTTTATTTTATACCAAATACTGAGTAAAATATTGTTGAGATATGAGCTTGTATAATAATATATTAAGTCAATTACATACCAGTCCTTCACCTGTTGAGTGTTACCTCCAATATATTTTTAACCCATAACATACAAATGAATTAAAAAATATATATATTTCAGAAACTACAGAAACAATCGCCTGTGCTTCTTCAGTGGGATTTAGACTTCATACTTTTTTTTTACATTTCTCACTAAATAGACAATGCCCTGCATAACTTTAGTGCCCCCCCCCCCCCCCCAAAAAAAAAAGAAAAAAAAAACAGGATTTTTTTTTTTTGGTTGTAAAGAAAGTATAAACAACTTTAAAGGATAAGCTGTAATTCACAATATACATTTAATTATAATTAATTTTAGGATCATCATTTCTATTAGTGTATGTTAACATGCAAACACTCATTTGCTTGAAAAAAGTACCGGTACATAAAGTTTTATTTTATATACTCATAACTTAAATCACAGTTCTTAAAATTTTTTTTAATTTAGATGGGTGGCTGTATTAAAAGCATTTTTGATTTGATGGGCAGTGGGGGAGAAAGCAATTAAAAATGTATGGGTGGTGGGGTAAAAATAAAAGTGCCTTCCAACCCCCCCATACACTTTTTTCTGGAATAGCCCTTAACACAGAAGTCTACTAGTTTGTAAACAAAGGAAGAGAAAAGAAGCATATGTATTTTAAACTTTGGTGAGTAGCATTCTGAAAGCATTTCAATTAAAAAATTCTATTTCTTGTAACAATGGCAACATCATTTATTATATACCTAATGCGTATCACTCAATTTTACTGTAATTAAAGCAATCACGTGACGTAGTGATCCGACTTTCCGGATCACCACACTGTGGTTTTCTCCACTCTCATCTCGTTGACAGGCGCGGATCATCAGATCAAACTCGACGCTTCGCGTCTCGTTAGATCTGATGATCTGCGCCTGTCAACTCGACGTGATACAACCCTTCGGATCAAGTTACTGTTATAATAATATATATATATCAAATTCAGAAGCAGTTCTACAGGATTATGTATCTTAATAGTTTATTTGTGTGCCAAGTTTTATTGAAATCCTATAAATCCTATAACTGTAGGAGGAGTAGCATTTTGAAAGTATTTTGGACATATACTTTTTGTATCTATGGCAACAACACTCATTAATCTCAGAGAGATTAGCATATCTTAGTGTAGTTATCTATGTGCCAAGTTACATGTATATTGAAATCAGACCAAACTGTAGGAGTAGATTTTTGAAAAATTGTTCACAGACAGACAGACAGCTAGACAGATGGACAGCTAGATGGACAGACATATAACACCTTACTATCCCATAAGCTTTTCTGATCTAAGACCAGTAGACCTAGAAAAGGAGGGGATGTATAAAGCATAAACATACAATATGGAAGAGTAGTGAAATAAACAATCTTGCTGATGGCTCCAAATTTGGCTGATGATGTAGTGTAGGTCTGTACGTAGACTGCATACTGTGTCCAGGGCTTCAAGCTCAGCAGCAAGGATGTCACATGGTCTTCATCTCTCTCCATTTTGTTCAAAATATCCTTTGTATTCCACCTGAAATAGGTTATAGGAAATGTAATTAAGGCATTCAGGATGTGTTCTACTATGCATTGTTACATTAGTTTTTTCTTTGCAGAACACTCATTTCCATGTAACTTTTTTTATCTATAAATGACAGAATAAGATGGTTATTAATCATGTACACATTCCACTGTTTGTCACAATCGAACTGTACTGAAGATATTTAAACTTACACACCTACAGAAATCTGATTATTATACAGCCCTGAATACTAAACCATAACAGCCCTGAATACTACAATATACACACCTACTTAAATCAGATAAATGGACAGCCCTGTAAAATTTCATGAAAAGTTGAAAAAAATGGAAAACTTACACATCATCATCACAAGCATCTCTTCCTTCATAGATGGAAAGATTTCTGAATGGCCTGTAAAACAGAAAATAGATTGATTTTTACCCATCATTCCCCTCAGCAACTTCCTGTAGAGAGGAGAACATCAGAAAACAACACTGATCATAAAAAATAAGTAGATTCATATCACATTAATGTTCTTGGTCTTCTCAGGGCTTGTAACAGATCTACATATAATTAAAGAATACCACAAAAAGTGCATAAAAAGTTCAGAATATCTAGGTCTTTCTGATACCATCAACAAGTGATATTAATTCAAGCTACATTTATACTTTGTAAGTTAGTTATTTAGGGTCCAGAATTGGCTTCATATTTTGATTCAAATCAATTTTACCTAAATTTTAAAAAAGCGCAGTTAAGTTGGTATGTAAGACTGCGGAACATTAACTGGCAAGATTGGAAATATGCAGCTTACGTCATTTCTATCTGTTACAATCAAAACATTCAATGATAGACAATGAAATGGGCGGGTATAATTCGACGCTGACGCGGGGAAAACATTGGATTGAAATTTGAGTTTGAAATTAATTTTCAATCCACCTCAGCTACACTAGAACAGAAGGCACATGATTATTGATTGACTCAGAAGACAAATAATTCCAAGTTTTGTAAAGCTTGAAAATAAAATATAAATCAGAATTTTCTGCCCACAGTTTTAAAACAATATATGAGGGACAAATATTTGATTTCTGTTTGGTATAATTTATATATGTGTGGCGTTGGAGGGGGAGGGGGGGGGGTTAATGATCTTGGAAATAAATAAGAAAGCTGTCAAACATTTTTCATTGAAGACAAAACTAAAAAAAGCTCTTGTCATCCTAAAAATTAATTGGTATATACAAAGCATGATCTGACTCGACAATTTTTGACCCCCCCTTCTAGAATCAAATGGCCGTCTCCTGAAAAAAATGTCTTCTATGACTTTTACCAGTGTCCTAAGATTATATTATAGGCTAATAAACTCATATCAATATAAATTTCAACCAACATGTATTTGGGAATTGAAATATTTGTCTTTTGGATCATACTATTCACACTTTGCTTTTGAAAACAGCTCAGGTGAATTGAAAATGAATTTCAAACTCGAATTTCAATCCAATGTTTTCCCCGCATCCGCGTCAAATTGTACCCGCTCATTTCATTGTCTATCATTGAATGTTTTGATTGTAAAAGATAGAAAAGACGTAAGCTGCATATTTCCAATCTTGCCAGTTAATGTTTCGTGGTCTTAAAATATTTTATCACTTCAACATATGTGTAACAGACAATCAGGAATACTTCTAAAATTAATGGTTAATTTGTTTGTGTTTTTGTGAGGATAAATTGGAAGATTTATGCTGGTATTGGTAGGCAGCATATGGTCTTCAATATATATCGGTAGACATTAGCCTCAATCTGTAAAGTTCCAACATGTATGACAACTCTAAATGATTGAGCAAGTTCCTATTCCCTGTGGCCAATCAGAAGAAGAATAACAATTCTACCAACATATTCCACCTGTTTCTTAGAGCCAAATTACCTTGAAATAAATCACATACTTCATTTACAAAAATTCCAATATATATAGAAATGTGATTAGTTATAGACAAGTGCATTTCACTTTATATACATAAATTTAATACATGTATACACATTAAATTAAATATTTTCATAGGAAACAGCAAAAAGTATCCTAATGATCAAATAAACATGTATTAAATAATTTTAAGCCTTGAAATCTGATGTATTATTCTAATCTACTTTCAGCAATAGTATAGACCATTCTAATTATTATATTAATAAAATATTTTGATTATTATATTTACAAAACGTAAGCCCTTAAGACATTTTTCTCTGAATGATGAGCTAATGATGTCAGGAAGATAAGAGAATGTGTTTAGATGGATCAGGGTGACCCTAAAACCAGGCCTGTACCAGTCGCGGTGTGGACATGATGTAATCTCCTCAGTATAACATGCTGTATAAACATTAACATTAATCAACCAAATCCACAAAGGGAAAAAAAAATATCAAAAGAATAAATATATTACATATTTGCTCTAAAAAATATTTATTGCACAATGAAGATTTATGTGTCTATCATGTTAAAAACATACCAGTTTCCAAATATTTCAATTTTTTTTAATATAGCTATTTCAAGAAAAAAAAATATGGAATATTTTGGTCTAAATGAGTTTTCCTGAGAGTTAAAAGAAATCTGTATTCCTTCACTTTGAAAATGAGTTTATGGGTAGAAAAAGTCTCTTGATTAATAGAAGATTTACAGGTAAAAATAGTCTATATACAACAATTTTAAGGGGGGGAGCATATAGGTAAAAATAATTACATCTTCTAAATCTATTTCCTACATTTTAATAGGGTAAAATGAATGATTAATTTAAAAAAAGTACTTTCAATGTAAGGATTTAATAAAGTGCCGCGCCACAGCATGATACGCCCGTCAAAAATTACAATTTTCTTCAACAGTTTAGCTTGCAATCACGTCAAACTGATTCTAAATTTCCATGATTTTTCCATTCCTAAAAAATATTTATCCATCCCCTGTGATGTAAGCATTAGTTATAACAAATATTACATCATTGATGGATTTCTATGCTGGTTGTGTTTGTCAAATGCCCATCATATTAAACAATATCAAATTAGTCTTAACAAAATCTATATCAAATTAATTTTGAAAGGAAAAGGTTGGCCATCAAATGACATATGCTGTAAACTAACCAACAGTTCTTCTGTCTAATTCCCAAAGGTCATCATACAGCTTGATCAGAGTGATTCAGACAGCTAGCCTGAACTCATTAATTAATCTTTAACTGGATGCTTGTCTACTCATTAATACCAATAGATGAATGGGTCTGCACTATCTACCATAACTTTTTTAAAAACATATGAAATACTCAAAGATTTTTTTTGGTTGCTGAGATTTAATATAAAATTCATATGGACATGCTGATTCCACCCCATACCATAAAATTAGTTTTTATAAATTAACAATTTTATATAATATAAGATTATTCTACTATGCAATATTAAATTAGTTTTAATTACTTTTCATTAAATTTATTTTAAAACTTAGGCTAGCCAGCAAGAGCTATTTTTAATCCAACAGGCTCACACATTTGCCCAATACTCAAGGGATATATATTAACACCATATTTTGCTATTATAACTTTTCACACTCAAAACTCATTAATTTCTCTCTAATTTGACATGCAATTTTCTGTTATCAAAAGTCTTGACCAGTGCTTGATAATTACACTCATGGGAGACATGGGATTTCTCTAAACATACATAATATTTGTTATAGATTGCTGTCAAGTATACGCTTTAAAAAAAATATGTTTTTTCTTGATTTAACACTTTTTTAATAAGGACAGTGCAATACTCTTATGTTTATTTGGGATGTGTAAATGAATAGTAAAAAGACACATTTTTTTTTAAAATTTCATTTTTTTAATATGACCTTGATTTCGCGACACACCTTCTACCTAAGATGCATAAACTGGCCAAGTTTGATGATCGTAAGTCTTATAGTTTTCTAGTTATGAGTTAAAAGGATTTTTCCATATTTGGCTATATCTTCTTAATTAAAGGTCAGAGCCACCTACTTTTTGTGCGCGACACACCTTTACCCAAGATGCATCAGAACAAAGTTTATAATAGGCCTAACAATTTTAAAGTTATGAGCCGGAAACGAAAAATAATTACATCAGAATCTATTTCCTACATTTTAGTAGGGTAAAATGAATGATTAATTAAAAAAAAGTACTTTCAATGTAAGGATTTAAAAAATGTGAATTTTTTTCTACACACAATGTACACTAATAATATGCAAAAGAAAGAAACCCAAAAAATTTGGATTCATGCATTTTGTATGGGATAATTTCACACGTCGCAGCCATTGCAAATGATTTTGTATAAATATTTGGAGGGCCAATGCTTAACTTCATATGAACATTTACTTACTCTTGTAAACAGCAGAATGCAAATTGCACATGCAAATTTCAATTATCCTTCATCAATTAACTGTTCAAAAGCTTGCACCACAAAGTTACCAAGCCTTGGCTTTAACTAGAATTACTTACGCCTCTTTCCAGTTGATAACATAGCTTAGCAATTGCCTTGCATCAGAAGTTTTGAAGTTATCCCAGCGTAGGAAAGCAATCCGTGCGGCTATCTTAACTACAGTCAGGTTCAGGGTCTCCACAGTGCCTGTATAGAGATATAGCGGGGTCATACGTAAGCTTTGGTCATCATGCAAGACACATACTGTGTATAGCTACATCTCAAAGGTGAATAGAAAGGTGTGGGCAATCATACACTAATAAAATACATCACAGAAAAGCCTATGAAGTAATAAAACAGTCTACAAAAAGGTAACGGGGTGGATCTAATATCATTGGAGGTGTCGGCCATGTTCCACTTACGCTTCTTTATAGATGATAATATAGCTTAGTAATTTGCGTCGGTCTGGAAATTTGATGTTGTTCCATAGCAGAAAAGCAAAGGTGGGAGTCACAACTGAAACCCTGAGACTGAGCTGTCTCAAACTGCCTGTATATACATAGAGAGGAGGCAAAAACGTACAATGTTATATTTATAAGGAATTCTGTATTTAACAACACCCTGTATCAAAGAAAGGTTGGATTAATTGAAAAGTTTCCCAGGATTAAAATTTCTTAATTGTAAATGAAACCTTATGTCTTCCCAAATTATTCATTTTTTTAAAAAAATATATAAAAATCTTGACCGTGTCATAATTGTCAATACTGATGAACATATTATGATCCATTCAACGAAAACCAGATATGTAAATATATAGTCTACGATGACAAAATACTCTTTGGTCTCAAAAATATATTGTCAAAAATAGATATAACAGTACACCACACCAGGTACAAATCCTTGTCAACAAAAGTCATTTTAACTTCAATGCATATCCGCTGTAGACATGTCTCTAAACATGCATGTTGTCTTTTTCAGAACTTTGTTTTTCCCAGACAAGGAAGAGGAAACCGTTATGAAAAAGAAGAGAATTAATAGACAGGACTTGATGACTTCCAATCTTTTTATACACGATTCATTATTTGTTGAATTCTTTAATTTATTCCTTCGTTTGACAAACTGGCAATAAAACTTTCATTCATACGAAAATATACTGAATATTTTAACCATATTTTTCTATCTAAAAGCAGATTAAAATGTGAAATAAACAGGTATAAAATTATCATTTAGAATGTACTTTTTTCAAATTCTGCACGTTAAATCTGAAACTTAAAGTTTGTTTTAAAAAAAATCCTTTGATGAAACTAATTTTATTTACATTGATTTTGATATTAGTCAAAACATGAAAAAATTCCTAGATATCCAAAATCAACACAATTTAATGTTCTTTATCACAAACATTTTTAAAAAACTTACATGGCATTTGATCTCCATTAGTGCTTTCAGATATATCATTCTGGGACTTATTCGGCATCTTGACCTTCTCTTCAAATTGTTTGATCTTGTTGTAGCAGAGTTTGCGGTTGTAGTGGAATATCATTTTGCCATTTTCTATTTCCAGATTGTTCATGACTTTCTCTGGGAACAGTTCCTGTAGATTCATGTTGTCGTGGACAAGGAGGGCAAAACTACAACACAGAAAGCATTATCACTGAATTATTCTGTCTTTTTATCTATACAGACGCCATAGTTTCACATCTTTGAAATATAAGAATTCTATTAAATTTGCATTGTTTCCTATCAAAATTCAACAATCATTGGAATCGTCAACTCAAGGTTCTCGTTTTATTGCATATGAATTATTTCAAAAAGGTTAAATCAAAATTAATTTTTATTTATTTTTTTTTGGAAAAGTTTATCAAACCTCAAGGACACAGGGTCTAAATTTATATGATATTCAAAAAGGTCTTGTCACAGGTAATGCACATGTGAAAAATGAAAGCCTTTACTTCTCTTCTTCAAAAGATATTTCTTAATTTGTTACTAATTTTGAAAGTGGTCAAAGTTTTGATGAAGATTAGTTTCTGTGACAGACAGAGATTGACATGCAGACGAATGAGATTTATTGTTCCTTTGCCTTCATAAAGGCAGAGGACAACAAAATAATATTCAGGTTATTCCTAGAAGTATGATAATTCTGTTTTTGCCTGTTCATTAATATGATTTATTATAAAGGTGAACAAAATCATATCAGCATTCACTTGAGGTTGCTTTCTCTTACTATGTAGACTGACCTGTTTGCTGCATTGGAGGATTGTCCGCGGATAATCCTAAGATTTTTGAAGAAGCCCAGCGAGAGAAGATTATTGGAGTTATGGATCCACACGTAGCCCTGAACTTCCTCAATCTGGCCAAGGTTCTTTTCCAGCTCCTGAGCAACATTGGCTGAAAAAGTTTTTGTTCATTAAAAGTATACCAATTAAAAACAATTATAGGGTTGACATTGGTTCCCATTTCCTTTCTATATATATGGAAATTGTGCAAGATCAAACACAGTATATTATTATCCCCTGTGCATATATATGAATTATGTCTCCTCTCACTAAACTGAATCTGAAATCTTTGTTAATTTTCTTAAACCTAAATTTCTTGCCTTATCTTCTAGTTTTTAATTCTCAAATACCCAATGAAAGGTTAATTTTGCCCTTTTACACTTGCAATTTTTTCTTATTTTGAATTTGCCCAGACACAGTTTTTATTATACAAGAACACATACTGTGTTATTTGAGTTCATCAAACCGAAAACAGGGCAAAGGATGAAAATAAAACAGGGGAGAAAATCTCTCTATGCATATGTCATATGTACTTTATACTTTACAAACATTATGCTAAAAATACTGGTAACACTTAATTCATGCAATCAATAACCACTTTCTAGAAAATGTATGCAGAATGATATATGAAAGCTTTCAGCAGTAATAACTGAAGTATTGCTAACTAGACCTGGTGATAATGGAGGCTACTCCTCAGACAGCCTAGTGTACCACAACAGTACTCGGCAGTTCAGCAAAGCTCACTAAATGTGAATTTCAAGAGACCTTAGAAAAGCTGGCGTCATTGTTAAAATTTGATCAAAAAAATCTGAATAAATTTGATTAACAGTGCCAGTACAGCATGATATGTTAAGACTGTGAACTATTCAACTTGGGTTCAATATATCACACAGTAAATTTGTTGCAACCATTTTGGTAATTAAGTTTCGAGTTTTGAAGTACTAAATTAACCATAAATGACTATCAAACTACTGCTTTCAGTATTAACTTACTTCCTTTTCTGATCCTGATTTCTAGGTGGTTGACAATTTTGGTACACCCAAACAATTCCTGTGATTGTGCAACAGTCTCCAGCTTCTTTCCGTTACAACCTGCAAGTCAGACAAAAATAATCAGTATGCTGTATACCGTTTCCACAGAGAAAATTTGAAATGATCATTCCTATCAGTTATCC